TATATTTACTGAGAAAAATGTTGACGTGTTCAATACTTATTTTACCCGCTGTATATAATAATAGTAAATGTAATATTTTCATCTGAATGGATTGGGTTAAAGATTTGCTGAAAGTTTAGGGGCGTGGCCAGATTTCCACTTTCGGTTTCGTGACGGACCTGAATCGAAACTTATAAGATTAAAATCAGTGGAAACGAAAAGAAAACACGGACTCAGTCGTTATCGGAGAAGAGATGTGACGGACGGAGAAAGCAGCAGCAGTGTTTTGAGTTAAACACTTTATTTWTTTTTTTTATAATTTTATCCAAGTTGCTGCGTCACCACGATCATGGCTGGAAACGCCGTGTCTGAGCTGAATGAATATGCGCAGAAAAAGCAGCTGAAACTGGAATATAAATTACTCGACTCATGTGGACCTGACCACAATAGAACGTGAGTTGGTAATCTATGTTAAAAAAATAGTTTTTTATGATCTGGGAGAGCGTGTTACCGTGTGAGTATGGCATGCCATTAGTGCATTTATTTGATTTCTGTATGCCATGTGCATGTCACAAAGACTGCCTATAAGTATTTATTATTATGTACCGTTATTTTACCAGGCAAGTCCCATTGAGATCTCAAATCTCTTTTTCAAGGGCGGCCTGGGCCTGAAGGCAACACTGCCTTCAGTGCCATTTCACCTTCTGAAGCTTTCAGGGTGGTCACGGGTGTCTTGGTCCCCCACTATTATTCTTGCCTGGTCCTTCAATTTGTGAGGATGGCCTGTTTCTTGGTAGATGTACACGTGACGTGTCCCATATTCATTCCATTTCCAAATGATGAATTYCACCGATCCTTGTAAGAGATTGCTTTGTTACCTGTCAAAACTGTGGTGAGTTATACATTAAAAGCTGCTTGTCTACACAAGAACTATTACAATAAATACGGGTGTAGCCTCCACCTGTACACGTCATTTAATGCTTTTATTGTTTTAGTATTATGTACAGTTTGTCCCAAAATAGAAAGACATCTAGCAAACATAGTCAAATCAAGCTAGAAAGTRCAAGGGACACCAAAAAAGCAAAGTCATTCAGACAAAAACAACAATGAAATAATGAATATCTAAATCCTATCAGAGTCCTGTGTGCTGTTGTGGTTTAAGAGTCCTAAAATGGCAATAAAGAATCAACTCATCACCTCCTAGTGGCTAAAATATTCAGTAAACCAGTGTTGTACACAGTACCTCAAGGTGATACTTGAGTAAAAGTACAAGTATCTTACCATAAATGTACTTTGGTAAAAGTTCAAGTCTCCTCTAAGAATATTACTTGAGTAAAAGTCTTAAAGTATCTAATATATTTTGTACTTAAGTATCAAAATTAAATTTCTGACGTAAAATGTACTTAAGTATTAAAAGTAAAGGTATTGAGTAAAAATGAGTGGCTAGACTTCCCAAAATGACATTTATTGGGAGTTGATACCCTCAAAAAGTGTTTTTCTAAAGGCCAAAATGGCTATTGTCATATAAAAATGTTAATGTTATCAAAATTAGGATGCACTACACCTGTTGAAATACACCTGTTTCAAATACAGTGGGGAAAATAAGTATTTAGTCAGTCACCAATTGTGCAAGTTCTCCCACTTAAAAAGATGAGAGAGGCCTGTAATTGACA